TTATAAAAGTGTATTTGAGCTGTTGTAGAACTATAAGACTAACTAACAGAATCAAAAATATATAGGACTTTGAAGGTGAACATTTATATTTTCTTAGACTTTATTTTCAAAAAGTGATCGATGAAAAAGAGTTTTCTCGCCTCAATATTAAAATTTAAATTTTGTTTATTATATTATGTAAAAATAGAAATTAATCTTAAAGCCTCTTTTTCCTAGCAAACCTCCCGTATGTGTATTTTTTACCCTAAATTTCATTGTAAATTAAATTTCATTGAAAGAAATTGGGGAGCTTGTAAAAGATATGCACAAGAAAATTGCAATTATTCATGAAATGGATTACAAAAAGTTGTACCAAAATCTCTTGATTCAGTACTTTTAATTACAATTAGAAAATTTGTAAGAAAATGTTGACGTTATATAGATGCTTATAAAAAAAGTATTAATGGAAAATTGGCAGAATATGCTGTTTAGAAATACAAATCACAGAAGAATTCCAGATAGTATTTAAGAAGATTTAGAAGAAATTGATTAAATATAAAATATCTAACGATTATTTTTAGGCCAATAAAAATCAATTCACGTGATCAATTCACGTGAAGATCTACAAAAAATTTTCGGACTCCCTTTGATGAGTATAGATGTTATGCACCATATAATAAAATTTTAAAATCAAAATTTTGGCTGAACCCCGGCTTTTGCTGGACTGGTCCTCATTTAAAGTTTTAGAAGACCTGATACTGAGCTATTCAAGTAAAATTCATAAGTTGTTAATAATTGATGCGATTCTTGTTCTTGTATGAACATTGATGAATCAACTTCATTGTGAATTATAAAATCGCGTTGTGTCATATTTTACGAAAACAGAATTATGAGTTGGAAAAAATGGTAAGGAAAAAGAGGAAATTTTAGAATCTCCTAAATGATTTTAAATAACATGAGATATCTTTATGGCGAGCCTGGAGATCTAGGACAGGCGATCCTGGATATGAATCGTTAGCTTTCTTTATGACTTTTTTATTTTTATCTTTTTTTTGTGTATCTTCTAACGGAGTTGTGCAGACATTATTGTTTCCAGCTGTGTAAGGAATTTTGTTGATTTCTTGGCCGTGAATAAGACATCCGTCTATATTAATTAAAAGGGAAGCCCAAATAATTTGTAAGTCCATACTTGCCAATTATTTAGTTCAGCCATATCTTTAGAGAATTTTTCGAAATCATCAAAGGTCTCAGGCACTTTGGTGCACATAAAACAGTTAAGAAGATAGACTGACGGTAAGGGACGGATCATATATTCAATTTTGAGATAGCTGTCTAAAAATAATTAGATATGTAAATAATTGCGCTTTCTTATATTCAACCTTTAATCAAATACTTATAACAAATTGTACCAAGTAAATTCGCGCCTTCCTCCTAGGTATGGTTTGTAATACGGCATTTAAAATCCTCATCGCATTTCGGCATAATTTAACATGGTCATTATGTTCTTTAGTTAATGACGCTTTTCTGCCACTTGAAAATTCAACGACAATTATGACTTGATTCTTCGGTTTTGTTCTTATTACTTTAAATAATCCATCAAATTTATGTATTTTTGTGTGGGGAGTAGTCAATTCAATCCTAAGCAAAAAATAATTAACTGATAAGCTAACCCTAACACTTTAAAATTTATAATTGATACTTACCACCCACTGTCTAAAACATCTTGATGAAATTTGAATAAACGATTTAAGATATAGATTACAGTGTCTATCGCGAATGTTCGTTCTAAATTAAAACTTTTTGATTCATAGCTAATATGAGCTTCTAATCGTGTGGCACTATTTACAGAAAGGTTAATAAAAATTTAAAATTGGCTAAAACGAATATTAACATGCATTTGAAATTACCAGTGTTCGAGTATTTGGTGAGCAATATCGTAGTCCTCATAATAATAGGAATCGAATCTGCCTAAAATAAAAGATTTACGAACCAAAGTTGGGATTTGTTTCCTATTACATACACGTTCATTAAACTGTTCAACATATTGTTTAAATTCTTCAGTTTGATCTGAAATTTGTTTTTTAAGAATCGTATTAAGCCATGCATGTTGATCTTCATTTAAAGAATTTTCAATTTTTCTGCGTGTTTCTAAATCGGACAAATCAATATATTATTTAGGTATACCGATGACATATGGTCCTCATTAGATAAGTAATTTTTCGCGAATATCCCCCTCATTCTAGAGATTAAAGTATGAGTAAAGAAAATTATCGTATGTAAAAGATAGCTAATGCCAAATACCTGTATGAGACTCTCGATTTCTACATTATCTTCAGTTATGTTAATCACTTCTGTATCGGTCTCTTCATTAGATTCAGAATGAGATCTTGCGATTATATCACTATCTTCAGTTATGTCAGTCTCTGCATTAGATTCAGAATGAGATCCTGCAATTATATCACTATCTTCAGTTATGTCAGTTTCCGCATTTAGATTCAGAATAAGATTCTGCAATTATATCACTATTAGTGACTTTTGTCCTCCTTTTTGGTGGTTAGCAAGATACATACGGCTCATCCAGCACACGTTTCTTAAATTTTTCTACAATTGATCTTTGTAGTGAAAGGCCTTGATCTACGGTCTCTCTCGTCGCATTCAAAATATGTTGGTCTGTTCAAGACACATTTTGTCCTCCATTTCGGTCCATTTGCAGACATTAGGAAGTATTGTCATAAACGAAAGCCACTAAACTTCGAAAACATCATAAAGACAAGATACTTTCTCCTTTTCAAATAACTTGCATCTCTCCTCAAGCAATCTGATCTCCTTAAGAATACCTTGTTTTTTTCACTTGTAATTCCCAGAAAAGTTTTACCTCTGCCGAGTTTTTATCGCGCTTATAAATATTAATTTTTAAGGGGAGAAAGAAAAGAATGACGATTTATTAATTTTATCCTAACTTGCATGTAAGAAATAACATAAATCTAACTACTACCAGTAAGCAACCAGCATGGTAGTTTGTGACAACATAGTACGAATACACTACACACTAACACACCAACAAGTAAGCAACCTTTCCCCTGCCAGTAAGCAACCAACAATGGTAGTTGGCGATGGCATAGTGTCAAATCAACAAATAAAATTTATACTTGCCTTGAACCTTTGTTATATCAACACGTTCTTCCCAATTTCGGATTCTTCATCATAGTATTTACTAATACCTTCAGTTCATCTTTGTACCGACGATGCTCCACTTCACTTTCTTCCAAATTACTTTGGTGTAATCGGAAACTAGGAATTTATTAAGCGAAGGTTCCTCCGTGTTCTTCCAAAAGTCTATATTTTTACAAAAAAAACGTTACGCTGTAAAAGCAATGTCATAAGGAGATAATAGTACAGATTTCTTATCACTGTATTTCAAATCGTTGATACAAGTGGGTAAAAAGGTACATTTTTATGTACTAAGAAAATTTTTACGTTAGACGAAAACTTTATTAATGATTTTTCAGATAAAGTTACATAGTTGCTTGAAATATCAAAGAGTGAGGGAGTACGCAGATCCTTAGACATTATTATATAGCAGATTATTTTTCATCGGTGACTATCACCTAACGATATAATTATGATGATTTTAAAATTTTATGTTAGAAATAAGGTAATAAAATATAAATCTAAACTGATAAATTAATAAAATAGCTTGTACTAATCATTTTATCATTTTACTTTTTAAATTTTTTAAATTTAATTCTCTATTTAATTTAAAAGTTCGTATATAACTATGACTCATTTTAGTAAAAAGATAAATTTTGAAATAGTTTTGCCATATTGTTTTTACGAATTTCATGTGAAAATGCAGCTTTTTAATAAATTTTTTTTTTATATATAAATTTTATTCTGTAAAATTTGAAACAAAAATGTTGCATTAATTTTAATTTTCAAATTATCTATTTTCCTTTTTTTTTTTTTTTTATTTTAACGTGCGGTAGCTTTGCACAATCTTTATTAAGAGTAAAGTAAAATACAAATTACAAATGAGAGAGTACAAAAATTTCTAT